GCAGCAGTGAGGTATGCTTAACCTTTCTGCATTCAGCAAACCAGCTTGAAAAGTAAGGCAAGCGGGGTGCTTGCAATTGAAACCTCCTCACAAATGTCACCTAGTAACGCTTCTTAGTGTAAAAATCCACTTTGCACTGATTTACATATCAGCAGGCCCCCTGCAGTTGTTGAAACTGCAAAAGGAATCCTGTGCCTCCAAAAGCTGAAGCCCTAATGACATAAGCTCCTTGGTCATCCCTTCAGTAACTTCTCCGCTGTCAACTGAACTGGAGGATGGAAACTTTCACCCCACAGTTTATAGTGTCTTTATGTAGAGATGCAGGGAACTGCTGAGGTCCACACTTTTTTCAGAGGATTCCCAATGGCGGGTATCCTGTAAAGTTGAAGTAACTTGCATTAAAGAACTTTCTGCAGTGTGTGTAACTTAACTCGGATCAGATGAAAATACAGCTTGTTTTAATCTAGGGGAGCAAAGCCTACATGTATCACGTCCCATGAGAAAAACAACGCTTTGTCACCCTGACTGTAAGACATCAGGTACACTACATGGACTAGTAAGAAGGACAGGAGAGACACAGACACTTATTTTATCTATAATGCCAGTGTAATACAAATGAAAAAGGTGAATTCACACTACAGATGTGACTCTCATTTCCCTCCGCCTCTCTGGGTAACCTGCCTTGACAACACAAGCACCTGTAAACGGGGCTGATCCTTTCACCCAACCAAGTCACAGGGACCCAGCAGGGCATAAGGCTCTGTCTGAAGGGACTGCTTCTTAGGAATGTGGCAACAAAGCTGAAGGAGGCCAGGAATTAAATGCTGACTTCCGTAAAGCTCACAGTAAAATTCCCATGTAAGCCGTACAGAGCCAAGATTTCAGCCCAAGTGTCAAAATACATTTGTGAAAGACCTGAAAGACCCATTTTCCCGAGGAAGCTTTCAAGAGTTATTGCAACAGAAACCATAATCAATAATGATGACTCTTAATCATATAGATAAGACTATATATAGTCTTTCACTAAATTAAGCCCCTCTTTCAGACTGTTAGCACTCTTTACTGCATATTGCCGCAAAATCCCAGAGTTAACCTTTTCCCAAACTCATCCTCTACCAGAAAAGCAAATTAAGCCATTAGCACAAGCTCAATGCTTCTGCTGCGAGAACATGCAAAGGGTGAAGACGAACAGGCAAGACAGAACATTTGTCTGCCCCTGTGTGTGTAGTTCAACTCGCCAGATCGCTCTGCACATGCGCCAGGTCCACAAAGCCCAGCCCTGCTCTAGAGACTTGCCCCGTTCTGCACCCATTGCACCTCCACGATGCGGAGCCGAGGTCAGTATCAGCAGGAGCTCTGAATGCACTGAAGAAGCAACCAGTAATATTAGTAATAATGGGCACAGACGGCTGAAAACATGTTAGGAAAGAACATTGCCCTAAGGAGGGCCCTTATTAAAAGTCAAAAATACTAATGGCCGTAAAAGGCAGTCACCTTAACATGATTTAACCCAGCGCTCTCACGAAACACTTCTTCCTTCAGCTCAGCAAAACACCTGGTGTTCTTAAGATCCAGGGCACAGTCAAGGCTGTAGTGAGATCGTATCAATCTCTGTGAGCCTCAGATAAGACCTTTACTCGATGTATTTTCGCTGTGCTTAATAAAAAAAAGATCGCAGAGAGTGCACCGAGATTGCCCTGAAGATAGGTCTGTGTGTCCTGATGACTTGTCCCTTTTTACCAACCGCAGCAGCTGGTTTAACGACAGACCCCACTCCTCCCCGCAGACTTTGTCTCTCCTCAAGTGGAGCCCACAAAGAACCCACAAAGCAGCTTGGAGGTTACCGTCCACCACCAACCGCTTTGGGAAGTGCCTGCAACCTACTGCTGTCCAAAAAACCAAAGTATGCCGCTGCTCTAAAACACTTCACAAGCTCCGAGGTGTAAAGTCACCTCAAAGAGAGAGGTTCCCCAGGCAAACAGACACCGTGGGACCCTCTCATTGCTTTGGCAGTTGGTTCATCCTTCCCAAACACATTGTCTGGGAGAGGAATGTCCGGCAGGGCAGCCCAGAAATCCCACCCCTCCATACAGACGATAGAAGAGCCATGTCCACCCCGTACCCTTCTGCTCAGTTCTTTGATGCTTTGCTCATGACTGACTCCTCAATTCTTCCACAATTTTAACCTGATTTGTCGCCAAAGCTGGGGTGAAAAGGAAAGGTTCCCAGCATTCCTAAACAGAAAATGCATAAATAATGCTGAAAATTGAATATATAATTGCTTTTAACATCAGGCTGGCCACCACACTAAGTTTGCACACCGTGTTTCAACTACGCCAGTTCTGATTTTGCACAGTTTAAAATTATTGCAATTTTGTCTATCAATTTTGTTATTCAGATCCACCTCTGGCAACTCTGAGTAATTTGTCTCCACCTACATTTCATTTTGAAACCATTACTTCCATTTCACCTGAAGAAGAGCCTATCGGCTGAAATACCTGCCTAATTTTTCCAGAGGTACCTGTTGCCTAATAGAAGCTATTACCTCTACCTACAAACCTTCTCCTGGTTGTTAAGAAAAGATTTACGGTCACAAAGTGCAACGGGATTGCATAACTGTGAGAAATCTCAAAAGACAGTATTCCTGAACCAGGAAAGGTGATAAAAGGGCTTTTTTTGAGGATGTTGAAGATGTATTTGAAAAAACGATAATCAGTCTTTCCTTCATCCCATTCCTCAACTGGTCAATGAAAAAAATATCTTGGAAACTGGTGAATTCAAGTACAAAACCAAAACCCAGCACAGAGCCAGCAGACCAAATCCTTCCCTTCTACTGAGCACTGGCAGGAGATACCTGAACCAGATTTGCTCTACTGGATTCCATTAAGTTTAGATTACACAGTGCTGAATCCAATGAAAATTACTATTTCAATAAAGGACAAATAAAAGGTTATGTCCTGGATGACAAAAATAAGAACTAAACCATGTTTCAGGGCACAACACTAATGACTTACATGAGTTAAAAACAAATTCCCAATCCACTTTCTGCTTTGCTGTCCAAAGGGGCAGACTTGCCTCTGTAGCTTCATGCTTAGGAATCACCAGTGGCAGAGAAAAAGCAGAATGAATGACCCAATCAGCACGATTTATGCTCCTAAATTAGACCAGGTTAAACACTGGGGCGAGGGGGATAGGTGTTTTTAAAGTATAATGTTCAAAAGCATTTTGAGCTTTTCCAGGTTTTGACATCTCAAACCTTTACTGAGCTTTCACCAGGGAGGACATGTGATTTAATTAGAGCATGATACAAAAGCATGGCAATCCCAAACCATGTTCCCAGCTCTGCCACTGACTTGCTGCATGACCTTGGGAAAACAACGGTGATGCCCTGAGCCCCCATTTACACCGCAATTCCAAGAACTGTCTGGGAATGCCTCTGTGTGTCCTCTTCCACAAGGACCTCTGAAGTGTAATTAAATTCCACCCAGTGCTTTGAAACTGTCAGAGGGAAAGTGCTATATAAACCCTTATTAATTAAGCTTGTATTTAATATTCTGGTAAATAAACACACTATTGAGGGAAACTAGCTGCTAGTGATAGCACAGCTACGGAGCTTGACAGGGAGTCAGCTGCCGACCACAGAACTGACACAGGCAACATGAGAGGGAGGAAGCCCCCCAAAATATGGTTGATGGCTTAATACAAGGCTGGCATTTTAACACACAACATTTTAAAACAAATTCTCGGTCCTCATCCCACTCTGCTCCTGTGGAAGTCAGTGAATCCCTAATTCACTACTTGCCATCAAAATTAACTTCAAGCCAGCACACCAGACCACGTTAGCATGAATGTGAGGCAAATCCAGACTTGTGCAATAGAAAGGTGGAACACTTTTCAGCACCATTTCACACCACATTAGTGTCTTGATTAATAATATATGGGGCAACTTTTCTCAATGCTGTGCTCTGCCCACCTTTCCTATTCACGTCCCCAGATGCACGCTGGCACAGCAGTGCTTTGCTATGGCAGGGTCACCCTACACTTGGGCTGTCCTTTTAGCAGACGCAAAGTCGAAGTCTCTTGTTGGACTTCATTTGTGCGAACACTCATGTCTCAGTAGTTATGGGCCAGTGCAAAGCCTATGTGAAAAAGGAATGTAAGTAGCGCAAGACTTGCCTAAAGCAGCATCTACATTAATACACCTAGAGAGACAGTGGTGTGCAGCCACACCGTAACTTCAACGGAGCTGTACAGAGTACTCTCACTCACTGCTTTGCACTGGACGAAAGGGTAAAATTAACTCCAGCAGCAAGGAATAATTTGATGGCCAAGCAGTCCTGATTCAGTCCTGTAAATATTCATCTAACAGAGGAACTGTAGATGAGCAGCTGCAGACAGTTCTTTACGTACTTGCTCAGCCACAGGATTACCATCTTTCAAATCACTGTCACTCCCTCATCCTCTTTCCCGGTATCTTTGCCACAGACTTTAAAGTGTCTCAGAATTGCAAAGACTTTGAAACCCTGAATGAAAATGGTTGCAAGCTCAATTATTAGAGACTTAAAGAACAAGAAGAAGGAAAAAAATGACCCGACAAGCAGAGAGGATATTAGAAATGTAAGTGATGACTACTTATTTTAAGAAGTGGCTCAGAAAAAGAAAAAAAAAAAAAAAGCTACAAATTCACAATACCGATAAGGATGTAAGAAGAAGTGAGAGGGACCAGGGGAAGGACCGCGGAGGGCAGGCTTCAGAGGAGCCCGGTGGGGCACAGCAGAACCCATTCCTTGAAGGCACCGCTTTGGCACAGCCCCACCGGCGAGGCAGCGGGCGCGGCGGCTCCGCGCCCCGAGGATGGATGGACGGACGGATGGAGAGAGGGATGGATGGATGGACGGGCGGAGAGAGGGATAGATGGATGGACGGATGGATGGATGGTTGGTTGGATGGACGGACGGAGAGCGGGATGGATGGAGGGAGGGAGGGAGGGGATCTCTCACCGCTTGAGCGCCGGACAATGTTCTCCAGGAAGGTGTTCTGCGGTGCCACCAGCCCTCTCTTGCCCCCCGGCATCCTGCAGCGCCGGGCTCGGGGGCCGGGGG